CTAAATAATGGATTGTTCTTTCTTAGTAACATCCCATTTTCATTACAATTGTGGTCTTACCTTGACTTGAAGATTAAGTCCATGCTCTCCTTCTGGACAACAATCTCTATTCGTTTTTTGTAAAAGTCCTCCTTGTCTTCCTGTAGTTTCAAAAGTCTAGTTTGTTGTTTATGTCTACCGTCTCTGCGTAGAATAACAGTAGCAACAAGAACCTGTGGGCTCACGTGCGCGCCTCTTCAGTGCGGCAGAGGTTATGGCTGCCTCTCCTGCTGCTTTTTTCATTGCCGTTATATGATGAGACCAGCGAGCCTAAATATCATATATACGTTAAATAAGTTATTTAGAGACTATGGATGGCGAGGATACATTTAATAAAGGGATCTACAAACATCACATTGGTGACCTACAGTGAGATGGTAACAGGCATGAGCTTAGGGCCCGCTTTCCAGCCAGTTTCTGTGGGGTGACACATTCTGAGGTGAGGCAGAGCTCATCTGTGCCTCACCTCACCCCACAGTAACTGGCTTGAGCGCGCTCACAAAATAAGTGCTCGCGCTAAATTAGTGCCCGCGCTCCAGCAAGTTACTGTGGGCTTACGAGAGGCAGAGCTCGTCCCTGCCTCACTTCTCATCGATACCCGTAGTTGTAGTGGAGCTTGGCAAATTTGCTGATTTTGACTTTCAAAAGCGGTTGGAATCATACATAAATCACACTTACAACACAGATCAGTGGAGACATTTTATTATTATTACTATTTAGTTTTTCTTTAGTTGTTTTTCCGTTACATTGGAGTATGACAGGTGAGGCTCTGCCTCCCCTGCCTCCCTTGACTGCACGTCGCTGGTTTGTATCCATCCTCAAAATACCTATAGCCATTGGTGTATAATGAGCAGTTTGTCACCTGTGCAGCCCTGCCATTAGTCTATAATTGTGTGTTAAAATAACATGAAGGTCAATGTACTACGTTATATAAAAGAAGAGAAGAAGAACTTGACCCTTTATTGATCTCCTAAGGAGAATTTAAAGTTTTTCACTGTTATTGTACTCACAGAACATATACTCACATGCATAGGACTTATACACATGTGATCTGAAAACATATAGGCAGCAACACATGACTTGTTTGGGAGAATGCCAAAACGAAAACCTCTCCAGCTACCCGGCCATACTCCGTATTCTTTATTTTGGTCTGATCAAGACTTGAACCAGCGACCCTTCGTTTCCCAAGCTAAGTCCCTACAGACTGAGCTACTGCCGGTCTTTTTAGAATAGAAAAGGTGGGTTGATAGGCTTCTTGATCAATACCAATTTGTCTCTACTCACAGAGTTATGTTCTAGCTTCTGTGTGAAGTCAGGTTTATTTGTGCTGCACTTAATCACAATAACTTCCTAAAAGGGCCTCAGAGGGCAACATTAGACAAGAAGTGCTAACTGCTGGCTTAATGGACAAATCGCCCCGAAAACCCCCCCAAGGAAAAATCTAAGAAACTTTGAGTGGTATAATGTGTAAAACCCCTCCTCAGTGGTTACAAATCACCAATGAGCCAATGTCAAGTTAGTGTATTATTGACAGAATGGAATAAATGGGGCACACATATTAGTCTCAAATGGGCAATAACAAATGAAGCGGCAGCACAGCAGCCTTTAGGGGGCAAACCCAGCAATCAAAGGTCAGGTATACTGTGGACTGATGTTTTATGTCAACACTTTTATCGAGGTACATTTCTTTAGCACCCACTTGCAATAGATCAATCATCAGAATACCGATGGATTTTTAAGTATTGGGTGTTTTAAAGGGTTACTTCACATTCACCAAAGTTTGGATACGTAAGTGTATAAGTGATTGAGGCAGCAGTTAACAAGCAACTCTTCAGAGCAAGGTAGAGCAGGGAAAATATTCTAAATATAGCTTACACCTTAACTGATATTGAATTTTAAGGTGCACTAACATTACATTACATTACAATTTCATTTCAGTGCAAGTTGTTATCAGACATCACACCAATCCAGAATGTTATGGAAATCATTATGAATCACTATCTGTAGAATTAGAAAATGCTTCACTTTATTTATCTGGTGATTGAATCAAACATGACTGTGCCAATTTTTTTTGACACAGTGCCAATAACTTTGTCAGTGGAGACATTGCTTTAGCAAAAGTTGAGAAAAGTTCAACCTTTGGTCCTCAGATCAACGCTCTGCACTGAACCACTGGCTACATTGAGAGGAAAGAGAGGGCTGTCGTTTTTTAGGCAGGCCTGGCCCAGATGTTTTCTCATCCCGTAGAGTGGAATACACACCATTAGTGATGATGTAATTTTTTAGGCCAACCTTGAAGTTAGCTTCCTCAACAAACAGCAATGGGATTTTTCCATTGGATTTAGAAATATTGTGGGAAATACACGTGTATGATAGTTAAAACGTGTTCAGCAGGGTAATCTCCAGTATTAACACCACTCTATGATTTTTGGAAGAATAAATGCAACCGGCAGAAGAAAAAAATCTAACTTTAGGCTATAAACGAACTAGATCATCACATGACTTCACGTCACAACCGCTAAGCTAAAGGTGGCTAATGTTCAGCGTGATGATGTTTCGGAGTCTTTTTTAGTCACTTGTTAGCAAATGCCTTACATGGATTTAGAATTGTTTTGTCAAAATGTAAAAATCTCTTCAGCTTGTGTTAACCACAGACCTTATTAAAGGCATCTAACCACCTTTAACTACCACTGTGTGTGTTGAAGTCCGAAATAAGCAATTGTATATAGTGGCTAATAGTAGTAACATTGATAAGTAGCATCACGTTAAAGCAGTAGCAGTCTTATATCATGCAGCTGATTCCTGTTTTTTTGTTTGTTTTTTAGGTATTTACCAGTTCAGAGTTCCTGAGTCGGCAAAGTCCGGTACTTCAGTCGGGAGAATCGTAGCCACCGACAGAGACATCGGGAAGAACGCTGAGATGTTTTTCACCATCGTCAGCGGGGACGGCATGGACATGTTCCACATCTCCACGGACAAGGACACCCAGGATGGGGTCATCAGCGTCGGCAAGGTGAGGCACAACTCACATTATAAACTGTTAAGGAAGCATAAGTAGGAAGAAATAATTCCAAACATAGCATATTATATAAGATATCAAAAGCTCCTAAAAGAGACAACAGGAGAGAAAATATCACAGAATGAAGTCAAAGGGCATCTTTTCTAAAAAAACTGCCCCCATTCAAATGGACTGGCTTTTAATTATCTTGATATTTTTCTCACGGCATTAAATAAAATAAATGGTAAAGCAGTGATCCAGCAGATCCCACTCTTTCTACTCATAGGGATCCTGCCCACGTAGTCTGTTTTACACGTACTGTTAAATATGCAAAGCCTCTGCATGCTTGACAGATGAAAGAAATCAAATTAAACGTATTCATCTTCACCCCCCCCTCCAAATCCTAGTCTTTGCGGAAGGACTTGGGCTTTTTTCTATCACAGTGTCCTCACAGAGTGCCTGTTTACTGATGTACAATCAAATTTGATATATAGAAATTCTTTGTTCCTCCTGCTGACACAACCTTAAGAAAAGTATGCCAGCTTCCACAAGAAGTAATGATACTGTGTCAGCAGGATACGAGATGAGGACAATTTCCAGGATTCCTTAAAGGAAACAGGCAGCTCATGTAGAGCTGTTCAACTAAATCTGAGCCTTTGTTCTGCTTTCAAACACCTATGCAGTACTGTCCAGCTGATGCCGAGAAACACATTCCAACACTATTTGCACTTTTGAGAAACTATTATCATTTGTCATCAGATTGAATCTGTCAGCAGCTTTATATCAGTTTTTATTAATGTTCGATTTTTCCCTGTAGCAGCGTGCACCGCTTCTTTTCATTATTTTATCATTCTGAAAGTCATGATACAAGAAAAGAGATGTGTTTTTACATTCCATACATCCTGCCTTTGAAGCTCAATTCCTCAGTTATCAAATCAAATGGGTTCACGACTACTAGTAATGTAGAGTATAGAAACGCTCATCTATACGTGGCTACATAAGTAATAGCAATTCATTTTGAATAACAGGCAAATCGAGTTCCTGACAATTGGGATTCTGCTGTCTTGTACATATCCCAAAGAGTTCAAATCGTCTGTTAACCGTCCTGTTGTCCTTCGGACAAATTTGACCCATTTCCAAATGTTTGCATGTCGGGATAAGGTTTTACAACCCGTTTAAAGAGAGTGAATACACTGCCCACACTTGCTGCCCAATCACTCCTTCATCTCCAAAACATATCAAATAACCCAGAGCCTGAAGCTACCTTCAAACTAAAAGCATAAACAACTACTCACATTTGATTTAATAACCAGACCAAAAATGATCAAATTAGTATATACAAAAGAGCGAAAGAGTTTAATTTAACTATTAAATATAACAACACACTGATGATCTCCAATCATTGTACCAACGTCCTCTTCCTCCTCTGCAGCCTCTGCAGCCTCTGGACTTCGAGAAGAAGCCATCCTACACGGTGGAGATCCAGGTCCGGAACACGCAGGTGGATCCCCGCTTCATGTCGGCGGGCTCCAAAGACATGGCCACGGTCCGGATCGCCGTGGAAGACGTGGACGAGCCGCCGCTGTTTTACAAAGCCAGCTACCTGATGGAGGTGAAGGAGGATGCTGCAGTGGGCGTGGCCGTGGGCTCCGTCAGCGCCATGGACCCCGACGGAGCGCGCAGCATGGTCAAGTAAGGAAGAAACTATAGGTTACTTACGTAAGCCCAGTTGTCAGAGTAACATGAAGTGAGATGTCTCACTAGGGAATGCGCCTCATCGCGGAGCAAACAGAAGCATCAATCTCATTACGCCAATCCTGGTGGCTGGTGATCTTGACGTCAGCGTCAGGGAATCTACCCCCTATAAGTAGCTTGCGCTACGCCGCATGCATCATTCAAAATAAGCACCTCTTCTCGCTTCACCATAGCAAGGAGGGCCGTCTGGTGAGACATCTCACTTCATGTTACTCTGAGAACTGGGGTTACGTAAGTAACCTATAGTTCTCATTCGTAACACTCCGTTCGATGTCTCACTATGGGATATTGTAGCTCCCGTATTGCCAGACAAGCTTATCTCGAAAATCACCAAACCCAACCAGAATTTAACAGTTAGAGCTCTAACTCAGCAGGGGGCCCAGCACTGCATGGGCCACACTGGGAGCAGAGACGTCTAATCTGTAAAAGCGGACAAAAGTGAGCGGCGAGGACCAGCTCGCTGCTGCACAAATGTCTTGGATGGAAACACCCTTGAACAAAGCCCAGGATGTAGCCAGACCACGAGTCGAATGAGCACGCAAACCCGAAGGTGCCTGTCCCATAAGGGCACCAGTGACCTGGAAACAGGAAGGAGCCTGCAAGCTCCCTTCATAAAACGGCAGACCAGAGGATGCTGGCCGGCCGTCTTACCCTCAAAACCCACATGGCATGCAGCAATAGCAGCCAGGTAGACTTTGATCGTGGAGAAAGCTCTGTGTTTATCAATTAGGTCCTGTAGAAATGATAAAATCACTCCCACAGCGCATTGAAAAGAGGTGTGCCCTTTTTGAAGGCACCAGTCCTCAAACACCCTCCACTTACAGTCATAAAGAGACCTAGTGGAGGAAGCTCTTGCACTCTGAATAGTGTTTATCACCTTCTGCGGGAGACCCACTGCATNGGCGTGGAGAGGACCCGCTCGTAACAGGTACGTTGCTGAGAAAAAATCCTTCCCCACCTGTCGTTAATCCGGAGAAAAAACGACGGTGTAGAATTTTATTGTCAAAGAATATTAACTGGTGTGTTAATACCCTTTTTATCTTCCCGTCCTCTGGTGTGAGAGAGAAAAAGAAAAAAACGTCCCCGCTACCTTGGTGTCGGTAGTGAGGAAAGGCAAGCTAGTAACAGGTGCGTTACCAGCTTGAAAAATCAAAACCTTACCTTTAATTCCGAAGAAAGAAACGGCGAGGTAGATTGCAACACTAACTGGTGTGTTAGTATTAACAGTCTTCTTGCAGAAGTATATATAAAAGTAGCCGGCGAGCGCCCGTCGACCGAAGTTAGCTTGGATAGCTTGGTTCCGTCTGTGGACTGTGTGAGCTAGCCCGGCTACCAATAGAGATGTGCTCTGAAGCGAGAAGAGGTGTTTGAATGATGCATGCGGCGTAGCGCAAGCTACTTATAGGGGGTAGATTCCCTGACGCTGACGTCAAGATCACCAGCCAATCAGGATTGGCGTAATGAGATTGATGCTTCTGTTTGCTCCGCGATGAGGCGCATCCCATAGTGAGACATCGAACGGAGTGTTACGAATGAGAACTCCGCCCATTAGCATTTCTTAACCTGTTGAGCCCTGAGCCTGTTTTTCAGGTCTCAGGCTCGAAAATGACATTCCCAGAACAAATGACTATATCTTCCCTTCTAAAAGGGTTACATTAATAATCTTTTTTCTCAAAGTAATGATTAACCTGTGAGTTGGATGTAGAAGAGTCAGAATCAATAGATATTTTTTATTTTAAAATAAATTCAGATTGAACATAGTAAAACATGTAAATTATAGCGTCCGTCCAACAACAACAAACATTACTTAGAGTGAAAACCACCCTTGAATGATGGGATAGTAGACAAAAAGCTTTAGGAATCCAAACTATAACATATAATAAGTACCCTGTATCAAGATTGATGCAAAATAAGTGACATTTGACCTTTTTAGAGAGGTTTGGCAAAATAAAACCCACCTCTGGGGTCATTTGGGTGGATTTGCCGTTTCTGGAACCCATTGGTTGATTTTGGTGATTGACACCTCTTTTGAACCGTTAGAGCTAATAGAATCGAAGGGGAAATCCACCTACACGTTAACATTGAGGAGTTAGAGTGATGCGCACGGGCTGTTGTGTGACGATTATCTCACATTCACACTCACATTACCTTTATTTTTTTCACATCAGCTTACATTTAAAATATATTATAGCCTACATGTTCTCTCAATATACATCAATTGCCTACACATTGACAACGATGATTTCTCATGGGAGAACCAAAATCCTGGAATGGCGTGTTTGGCCCCAAAGGGTCGCCCTTGATGTTGATTTAAGTTACCAAAAAACACAATAGGACAATGAAGGACTCCATATACATGTCTAATGATCTGGATAGAAAAAGTTGCACACACACAGAGAGCTGTAGGACAAATAGAGGAAACATTGATGATGCATACATGGGTGAATGACAGCAGTGTGTGTAACTGTGTGATAAAGTGACAGCAGACTGAGCTCTTATTTCCCTACATTTAAAGCAAGCCAGCTGATGGGGAACGTACTCCAATTAAAACAGGCACAGAACCATGGAATGCTCTTAAAATGATGTGTCACCAGGGGGCACACACACACACACACACACACACACACACACACACACACACACACACACACACACACACACACACACACACACACACACACACACACACACACACACACAATTCCAATTATTTCTGTGTTTGTGCCTTTGTGTGTGTCTATCATCCGTTCACATTGTGTCAGTGAACTACTATTTTACTGTTGAGTACTTTCTAATTATGATAGAGCATGGGCGTACTGTGGCAACACTTTATTTTACCCTCATATATCTCTTTATGGAAAACACTCATTTATTGAACGGTACACCATTAACAGCTGATAGCAGTTTTATGGTGTACTGTGGAGTTGGTAGTGGAGTTAGTAGTGTTCACATATGCACTTCCTGTTTAAAAAGCCTCCTCTTTGACAGGCAGTAGCAAAGGCATGTCACTTCTTTAATGTATGCAGAGCTGTGAGGCTGTGAATAGCTGCATTCAGCAACTAGATCAGAAATAGAGACTCTCAGTGAGCGGTGCACAGATTCCAGCTGTCAGAATATCAAGGCAGGTGTTTCTGTCCACCCTTACATTAAAGTCTGTATGCCTTTTGGTGTTGAATTAATTTCTGACTGAGAAAAGTTATAATTAAAACATTTAGTCTTGTTAATCACAATAAAAATCTGTGATTAATCATGATTAACGACAAGTTTAAATACCAATATTTGCTTGTTTTTTTGGGGGGAGTTAAAACAAATGCATACAAGATGCATGACAAGCCGGTAAGAGAAATCACAGGGCATATTTGCTATAATATATTATGTTTTCTGAATTATTGGTATGAAGTCTGATCATTTTCCAACCCTTAGCTAAAACATCAAGAAAAGCTGGTGTCACCGAGAGCCACTGAGATCACCCTCTGTATAATGTGTCACACATATGCTGCTCATATGGTAGTAAAAACAAGCACAAGCTTCAGCAAAGTGCATTTCCTTGGTTTACACCACACCTAAAGAACGAGTGTAGAAAATATGTGCATAGATAGATATACACATATTGTAAATGTCATACATGAAGCTTGGTTCAGTTAGCCCACTAACTTAGCATAGAGACTAAATAATAAAGACTCTTAAATACACATGAATAACAAACGTTACTGTTTATTTACAGGTTAATACTTGGGGATTGGCATGCATATTTAAACCAATAGAGGGATGACACTATTCTACAAGGTTGATAGTTAAATGTGTTGCTTGAATATAATTATACAGTACTGTTTAATAAGTATATAGAATTTAAAAGTTTGCATTGGCAGATTCTCGTTATTGTGGGTAAATGAACACTTGTTTTACATGTTACTAGGAGAAACAGTAGGATGTTTGTTATTTACACGCACAGACTCCATGTAACCTTTATGTAATATACAGTACATGGTAACATTTTGACGATGAAAACATTGGGCTGGCCAGAGGGCTACAGTACACTGTATCACATGATAAGTCAGTCACCGTGGGAACATGAGGGTTGCTGCAGGACAGCCCCCCGCTGGCTTCACTTAGCCCCCACTCCCCTCTCACCTCGCTGTGTCCCTCTCACAGGTACTCCATCGACCGGCGCACTGACATGGACCGCCTGTTCAACGTCCACCCAGGGAACGGTTCTGTGTTCCTGCTCAGAACCCTGGACCGGGAGGAGAGCGCCTGGCACAACATCTCCGTCACCGCAACGGAGTTCAGTAAGTCCAGCAGCACCGGGAACACATTCCCTCGAAGCACAGGCAGACACGGGTGTCCATTATCATCTGGCCGGGGGCAACAGCTGGACATTTTGCAGTGTTTGCTAAAGCTGCCCCATTTACTGTTTTTTGTGACAGTTGATCAATGGGGACTGTCCACAACACTATAAACAAATAAACTAAACTAAACACAAGGGGATTTTTTTTTACGGGTTTATTTGAATATTCGTAAATAGCATTACAATAAATACAAACAAAACAACATTATCTTCTTCTTGTCTGCTTGTTTACATATCAAAGTTCTTTGAGCAACATAAACCTTTCGCAGGGCAATAAAGTGTCCATGCTGCTGGTTTCTTGGCGCTGTTACTCTCAACAAATTACCGTAGTCTCTTTTTTCATATTATCATTTTTATTATAGTTTGTTAAGCAGTGGATACTGTTACAAAATATATACTGTATTCACAAAACGAAAACTATTTACCACAAACATAAGCAATACCTACAGGTAATAAAAGAAAAAACAAGAAGAGGAGAGCATTTATAATTTTTATCATTGGAGTCACATATCTGAAAGCCTCAAATAAAAAAATTAATAAACAACATACTTAACCTTTGTTTTTGTAAAATGTATAACCACAGTTATATCTTATCTCTGGGGAGGTTAAACCATCAGTGAGTCATACAGGGATCTACTGCAATGCCAAGATGTTCAAACTGACTGGCAGTGATGGTGATATTCTGTAGAGTGATTTAACTGGTCTGAAATTCCAAAAATCTCTCTCAGCAAATATCACTTTAACGTATCTCCGTCAGGCTAGAGGACCAGCTGTCCGTGAGGTCCTTCTCAATCTGAGTAGTGTCTGTGTACTTTGGAGTGTAAACGAGTTGAAATATGTTTGTGACCCGTCAAAGTTGGATAAATATGCTAACAAAAGGAGGTGGGCAGAACAAAGTCTGGCATACATCGAGAAAACTTCAGTTTTGTAATGACATTCTTTGTTCCCTTGGCTTAGGCTTTAATTAAAACCTCAGTATTGTACGACATCAATCCTAGTTTCCAGCAGCTTCTCTGTTTCCCAGTTTCTCGCTCAGAATTTCCACTACAGAGGGAATCTGAGCACTGATGAAGAACTCCAACACTTTGAAACTTTCGAACTGTCTAAATTATCATATGTCAACAGAAATACCCTTCAATGCAATACTCCAGATCTTTATGAAAGAGAGAACAGGAAGAAAATAAACCGTAGACACACTTTGATTTGAAATAAACTAATTGTGCAGCAGAATTAGGAGACGGCTAAAACTAGGCTGGACACACAACTAGCATTCAAGTTTTCTTTATCATAGTTTCAATGTGAAGGCACTGTTCTGAAAAAGAAACATTAATATATACAGGCCGTCGTTATGAACACGTTGCATTGGTAGCATTCTGTATGGAGTCTGTTTCCGCTCACGCTGCGCCGCTAAGTGCCGACACTCTGCTTGACGCTGATGATTCTCTGGCCATGAAAACAGAATCCCTTCAATATCGTTAACTTTTGTCAAATTAATAATTCATGTTTCTAGTTATAGGGTTTGTGATCATCAAGCTCCACAAACAGCTGGACTCAGACACAGTGTGCAATGGAAGCCTGATTGGTTTCCTGGCTAGAACTGGGAAAATTACAGGACAACAACAAGTTGGCTCTGCAAAACATGTTTTTCTTCACATGTTAAAAACGTATTTTGCTGTTTTCTTTTCACTTTTTATCGTGTATGTATGACCAAATGGTAAAGACCCAGCATGTGAACCATAGGGAGGCTGATACAATTAGACTAGCGATAATAACTATCAGCCTGTGTCCAGAGGCCCATGAGCAACGCAAAGAGCTGCTCATGATATCTATCAGTAGAAGAGCTGATGTTGTACCAGAGAGTGGAATTGGAGCAGGGTGTTTACTCTCCCTGTGCTTGCCCTTCAGATAACCCTCGTCAGAGCAGCCATGTTCCCGTCTACATCCGACTGCTGGACATCAACGACAACGCCCCCACCTTCGCCACCATTTACGAAACCTTCGTCTGTGAGAGGACCAAGGCTGGCCAGGTACTGATGCTCTATCACTTCTACAGCTCAGACTGCATTTATAATGGAATACAGCAGCTAAGCAACTAAACCTAAAGGGGGCCCCTTTAATCACAATCATTTTTTTCACCCTCGCCTTATGACAACACTTAGATGGGCTCATACACACTAACACTTTTCCTGTTTCAGTTGTTAAATTCAAGGACACATGAAACACAAACACTATGCTCAATGCTCCTAGGTGAGATGAAGCAGAATGATCATTTAGAAGACTAACAGTCCTCTACAGAAATTATTGGGTACAATGGGCTGCTGCGTGACATGATTTCAGCGTGAAACACAGCTGCAGAGCCTGAGCAGGTGGCTGTGTGTTTGTTGTGCAGGATTTGCTTTTATCAATCACTTATGGGACATGTCAAGAGCAAGAGGCTAAAGTGAGCTGCTAATCCCCTTTTATGAGCAGAAAAATAACAGCATTTGGATGGAAGCCATTATTACCACACTGACCCTTTTACTGGGTTTCATGAATATAGGCCGACATCTCTCATGATGTCTCTACTTGTGTTTTTCATCCCTACAATCTGAAAGATTATGTATTTTTTTCTCAGTGATGCTTTGCTTTTGAGAGGTTTTGAGGCTTTAGACGTTTTTTGTGTGTTATAAAGCTGATAAACAAACACAGTCAAACAACTTTAATTTCACCAGACCTCTGGAATATTTCATACATATATCTGTGAAAATGTGGAATTTGAATTACATAGTACTTAATATAATTGTACTCTGCTGTAATACGACTTGATATGAGTTAGCACATACTGTATGTATGGATGCATCTAATGTGATTAAAGCATACAGTTTATGTGCACACACACACACACACATAAAAACGCACACACACACAATCATGCTGCTGTGCTACTTGAGACCACTTGCTTTCTTCTTTTGTGGTGCTTGTAACGCTAATCTGACAGGAGCTTTAACACACATAAATAGGGTCTTACACACACACACACACACACACACACACACACACACACACACACACACACACACACACACACACACACACACACATAAATATACAGATATATCATATATAAATTTGACAATGAATAGGATAAAAACATAAATCTATATATGTAATCCTACACACATACACGCACACAGTATCATGATGATAGTGTGTTGCATGGTGGCATGCAGCCATTGGTCCCTGTCATCCTTTAATTCCTCCACCCTTTCATCAGTGTTTGCTGCATGTGTGCATGTGCATGTGTGTGTTATAGCAACAAATCTTTGTTAAAACCGTTAATCTCTCAGATACTGTCTCCCATTCAATTAAATAAGACTTGAGTTATAAAGTCAGAAATACACACTGAGTCACTAGCTGTGACACAGGAATACAACTCCCATGGTGCCGTGCACTCATATTCTTATTTCTGTATAAAAGCTCAAATCAATTAACATTTATAACTTTTATTTCATTCATTTTATTTAAAACAGATAAATTGAGTTGGGTGGTATCTTCTGTTCAATCATTTGTTTTTAATGTGTTTTAATGTCCTGAACCAAGACATCACAATATCATATTGTTTTTGGTATTAGTACTGACACATAGGCGTAATATTTGTATCAATACCCATCCCTAATGTTGCCTTTTTAACGGGTGTTTGAAGCAATATTCCGTAGTGGCCAAACAGTGGTACTACTATTACTTGCTAATCCTTGACAACATTGGGCCCAGAAATACTTTTTCCCATTGACTTACATTGGTAAAGAGACGTCAGTAGATCAGGAATACATTTAAGTTGAGCTAAATAAACTGCCCATTGTGAACATTGGGTCTTAAAGTAAAAAATGCGCTAAAAGCTGAATCCAGAGTTATTTCCCCTCTCCAGTCATTTGACTGAGCAGTACGGAAGAGGATTAGGGCCACATGGAAAAAACAATTTGGGGAGGTGAAAACATTTTTTTTCTCGAATTCTGACTTTAATCTCATAATTCTGACTATCAAGTACTGTATCCAGTACCTCCTCCAACGCTGTATCCAGTTCCCTGCATACATCCATAGTTTAAAGCTGTTATTAAATTCAAATCAAACTTTATTTATATAGCACTTTTCATACACAAAAGCTAACATCAAGTGCTTTACAAACAAACAAGTAATACTAATAAAAATACAACCAATACAACCCGGCCCCCCTTCCCAGGTAACAAATAGAGTTAAACATCCTTTTGTGATTGATAAAAAAAAAAATGAATTCCAACAGAAGTCAATGTAATACAGTAATACATAAAACAAGAATAAAATCATAAAATAAGAATGGATTAAGAATAAAATTAATAAAATTTAAAATTATAATGTTTGGTCCTGAGTTTGCTCTTAAAAGTATGAACGCTCTCTGCCATGAGGTCTTCTGGGTAGTCGTTCCACAGTCGTGGGCCATAATAATAAATCGACGCTTCACCATGGGTCTTTGTTTCCCTATACTGTATAGGTGGTGCACCAGAAGACCTGGGTTTCTAGAGGGTTTATAAATTAGAAGCAAATCTGATAAATAGCTAGACCATTTAAAGCCAATCAATTATTTTAAATGGATTCTGTTGAACTGGTGTTCGTCCTGATATGAAACTCATAGACATTCAGTTTGTCACTTTCTGTTGGCTTTCAAGTGATCCTGCACCTATATTCGATGTTTGGAGTATGAAGCTCTCGCCCCTGTAGATTTGAAAGCTAGCTGTAAAAAGAATGTTTCACGCTTCTTCACAGAGAACAGCAGCTGTGCTCAGTCAGCCATGATGGATCCCAATGGGGACAAATTTACACTTTGGGAAAAGAGGAACGTTTTAAACTACTGCAGCAAAATCCACTTCACTCAATACAAACATTTCAACCATTATTTATATCCAATTATTTAGTCAAAGTCAATTCTGTTATATCTGAGATTCTTAAAGATAGCAAAGAAATGAAAAAATTACAACCATTTCCAGTTTTTGATTTCATTATGCCATTTAATGAATATGCACTTAGGGAGTTCAGTCTATTTGAAGCTAATGCACCATCACTTACAATGGTATCTGCACTCTTCTTGTAGTTCTGAATTTCTATCTTTATGGTTTATTGTACTTATAAGTCACTTTGGATAAAAGCTAAATAAAAAGTAATGTAAAACAAAGATTCAAAGCTTTATTTCTCATATGCACTGTAGCTACAGCGTAGTTGTTAGCAGGAAGAATCTGAAGTCTCAGGCCTCTCCAACAATGCTATACACCATCTATTTAACAATCAAGAAAATACATCAAATAGTGCTTTTGGCCTTCTAAATGCACCGCTGGGTGTAGAGGTCCTCCATGGATGGCAGCTCCATCCTGGTGTGCTCTGCAGTTTTCTGCACACTCTGTAGCGTCTTGCCCTTGCCATACCAGGCCGTGATGCAGTTTTACGATCCTCTCTATGGAGCACCTGTAGAAGGTCAGGATCCTCTCTATGGTGCACCTGTAGAAGGTCAGGATCCTCTCTATGGTGCACCTGTAGAAGGTCAGGATCCTCTCTATGGAGCACCTGTAGAAGGTCAGGATCCTCTCTATGGTGCACCTGTAGAAGGCCAGTATCCTCTCTATGGTGCACCTGTAGAAGGTCAGGATCCTCTCTATGGAGCACCTGTAGAAGGTCAGTATCCTCTCTATGGAGCACCTGTAGAAGGCCAGGATCCTCTCTATGGTGCACCTGTAGAAGTTGCAGAGTATCCTGGAGTCCATGTTGAACCTCCTCAGCCTGTGGAGGAAGAAGAGCCGCTGTCGAGCTGTTTTGGTGATGGTGGTGGTGTGAAGAGTCCATGTAAGGTCCTCAGTGAGTTACACTCGTTGACTGTTCTCACCTCACATTATTGGGATGTTCATGAATATGTTTTGTGTGTCTGACAGCGGATCCAGACAGTGAGTGCTGTGGATGCAGATGAACCGTCGACGGGACACAAGTTTTTCTTCAGTCTGGCTCCTGAAGGGACGCACCGTAGCAACTTCACCGTCCGAGACAACGGAGGTAGCCAGCACCTGACAGATGCTTATTCATTACACACATTTCATACAACAGCCTCAAGTAATGATATAAAGTTGTAATGATGCAACAAGCATTGCATGTTAAACACGTAGATCATGACAAAAGGTGCAGTTTTTAGTTTTTGGTAAAAACATATTCGATGGATACTACTCTTTTGTGAATTAGATATGCAGGTACCACCAGCTGCTGGTTAGCTAAGCTTAGCTGAGCTAAGCATAAAGACTGGAAACAGCTAGGCTGGCTCTGTCCAAAGGTAACAGAATGCACCTAGCAGCCCCTCTAAAGCCCACCAACAGCTTGCATCTGCTGAGTTACTATGGAGATGTTGTGTGGCGGACTATTATTAGTTCAGTGAGTCTTGTTGTCCCTGTGAAGTCACATCAATCGTCCAGCAGTGTTTCCACAGACAGACACGCTGAGGGCTCTGCAGGAAAGTGAAACAAATTAAAAACAAAAGTATTTCACAAAAGTTTGAACCGGTCTTGTAAATAAATACATACATGACAAACGGAACCTATTTTTCAATAAACAAACTAAATAAAACATATCAGTATAAATCTCATAATTGAATCTGTTTGTTACCATGATTTTCAAAAATTGGGGTCAATTTCGTGGATCAGCTTAAATCCTGCATTTGAATTTCCCTCTGAATGACTAAAATGAACCCTACAGCTGCATGTGGGCTGTCTGTTGCTGAATAACTCTTGATTAAACTGAGATTTAAAGGAGAGGTGTCATGGCCATTTCCACTGATGATAATTCCATTGTTGAGGTATACTAAAATAGAAAAATACTGTGCAATTTTCCAAACTCACATTGGTTTCGCATACAGCATCTCTGTAAAGTATGTGTATTCAGCAGTATTCACTTTCTCCACTAAACGGCTCGTTGCAGCTCCCCCACCCCCCCCTCCGTGATTTCNCCAGTGTGCTCTGATTGGTCGGGACGTTGTGAATCGCGCTGAGCTCCGTGGAGCTGTGGTTTCCTTGTTTAGCGATACACAGCCAAACTCATCCTGAGCACACACAAACTCACAGCCAAAGTAAAAACAATAAGTGTGGCTTGATATTGAGTAAGAAAAAGATTTATAGGTTGATAAACGCTGTGAGAATGGGTCTGCAGAGAGAATTTCGCGCGATCCCAACTGTCTGTTATCAGCCTGCAGCACGGGGCAGAAATCAGCAGGGCTGCCTGCACTGAGTGTGTGTGTGGATTGTTCAATTTGGACCAATCAGCGGGGGCTTAATGTAACGGCTCCGTGGACGTAACGTAACGGCTCCACGGATTGGCCCATTTAGTTCCGGGTACGTGCTTTCGTAAGCACGTACCCGGAAGAATCAAATGGATGATGACGTCATGATGACGTTTCACCAACGAGGCGTTTTGGGGAGGTATTTTCTGTT